CAGAATTCCCCAGCCAGCATGGCTGGCTGGGGAATTCTGGGAGTTGAAGTCCACACGTCTTCCAGTTGACAAGGTTGAGAAACACTGAACTACACTGAAGCCAAGTTCGGTGCCTCGCCTTCTCCTACCCCCTCCATCAATGATTCCCTTTTCTTTTCTTGAAAGGGGGCTAGCTAGCTTCTCCATCCAACCACTCCCCCTCCTTCCTCCGCTCTCTGATACCCCAACAGACCAATTTTCATTCCCCTGCGCCTGAAAAAACAGCTCTGAGGAGCTTCACCCTGCTCTGAAAGCGAAGGTCTGGCAGATCCTGGATGTGGCAGGCCGAAAGCAAGGGGAACCTGGATTCTTCTGGGCTGCCAAACTGTTAAATACCATTTTCCTTCTTTAGGTAAGGATGGCCTGAACGAGTCAAAGGGTCCAAGTGTCACTCCAAGGAGCCGAAAGGTTAGAAATTCTAACAGTCCATTTTGGTGAAGTGCGTCCCAAAATCTGGTGGCGCTTTTCTGTTTTATTGAGCACAGCCTCCCCTCAGGGCAATGAACCCTGGAGGAAGGACCTGGTTTTATCTTCCCAACAGCCTTCCCAGGCAGGCTGAGCTGACAAAACTTCACTAGCTCATTCAAGCTTTTGATCAAGCAAGAATTGGGATTTCTTCTCTCATACGGTAACCGGGTGATGACAGAAACAATAGGTCCTAGCAAGAATGCCCACCGCTGGTCCCTCCCCACTGTCCCCGCTCTCTGCAGAATGCAGACGAATCTGGAAAGGCCACCCTCAGATCCTGCACCTTTCCATCCTGGGCTGGCCTCCTGGGCTCACCATTTTCGCAGTTGCGCCCACCGAATCCTTCCAGACAGAGACATTCGTACTCGTTGGGCTCCTTGTTGGCACACGTGCCCCCATTCTGGCACGGACGGTGGGATCCGCAATAATTCAGGTCTGAGCAAGAGGGAAAGAGAAAGTGATTGTTTGGGATCGGGTCCAACGCTGCCCCGTTCCATCGGGATCAAGCATCCAGAAGGAGGCACTTCCCTGGCTCACCAACCTCCCTGCCAGCTCTTGGCCCAGATTCTGCAACTATTAGTTGGCACAACCTTCTCCAAGCTGGGTGAAAAAAAGTTCTCTAAAGTCTTCTTTCTTGCCCCTTTGTCAAAAATCTTCCGGCCTCCCCCACTTTCCTCTTTTTAAAAAAAAATTCTCAAGGTTATTAATTCTGAAGCAATTATTAACTTCAATAGACACTGGTACGTGTCTATTCTTCTGTTAATGATTTTGGCATGATTGTGCCCTCTAGATGTCTTGACATGAACTTTCATCCTTGATCACGGCCGACCAGCTCGGGGACAGCCTCTTGAGCTGAAGGAGGGGAAGAGAAACCTGAAATGACTCGTGCGCCTTTTGCTCCTCCTCTTGTACAAGCAAAAGGAGCCACGATTGCAACAGTAAAGAAAAGGGCAGCCACACAACCCATGGTTTGAAACTGGTTTAATTGAAGGCCACCATATTGAGTAGGTGCCGGTAGCTATCTTGCCACCCAGACAAAATTGACCGAAAGAAGTTTGCCTCGAGCTGAGTGCTGGGAGAGGGTCTCCACTGACCCACTTCTTCCCATCTCAAAGCAATAACCCACTGAGCAGGACCAAGGCGGGGCTCACCCTTGTCGCACAGGAGGCCGCCCCAGTTGGTCTCACAGTCGCACTTCCAGGGCACGGTGCAGCTCCCGTGGACGCAACCAGGGAAGAGAAGGCATCTGTCGCAGAGGGGACCTGTCCAGCCATAATGGCACCTGAGACGGGAAGGGTAGTTACTGGCTGTAGAGGGCACAGGGAATGGCCTTGAAGGGAGAGCTGCTACTAAGGCAGCGGTTGGATAAGAGGGGCTTGAGTCTGGGCCAAGAAAGTAGCATGAGAAAATATCACGAGAGAGAGAGAGAGATGCTGAGGATCATCTTGGGATGGGAGGGGTGGCGGCACCTGATCTGCAGGGAGATGGGGGCTTCCTGGGAGAGGAGAAGAGGTAGAAAGCCCCCATTCATCCCATGGATCCAGTTAAACCCACCAGTTTATCCATGTGTGGAAGCCCATCTCTCCCTGTAGAGGGTATAGGGAATGGCCTTGAAGGACAGGAGGAAGAGCCGCTACCAAGGCAACGGTCAGATAAGAGGGGCTGGAGTCCGGGCGAAGAAAGTAATGTGAGAAAACATCTCAGACAAGCCCCACTTAATTCACGCAAAGATAAAGTGAGGGAGGGGGAAGCACATTCAGACCGGCAAGGTTCTGTTACTAGACCCGTGATGATAAAAGTAATATGGGGCTGGTTTCTTGGTCCAGTCTACGTGTTGGGCTGACACTGGCACAATCCCACTGTTAAAGGACTACCCTCCCTCCTCCGTATCCTTCCTTATAACTCACCATTCTTCCGCCCTTCTTGGCAATGTAAGAGTTGCTACCCCCAAATGCCCAGAGATGTCTCCAGCTCATCATGGGACCGTCCCCCCCCCAGCTGTAGTCCTGAGGGAGTGTGGCTTACTGCTGGAGAGCGGGGCTCATACCCCTTTCCCACAGATTTTGGATCACTTGGGGATGTTTGGATGTTTTCTGGGGCCCTCTCTCTGCTAAGAAGATGTGGTCAGTGGGGCGAGGTGAGTCTGTCAGTCTTGCGAGGTAGTCCAGACAAGAAGCACACCCAAGAGTATTAGCTCTATCTTTATTGTAGATTCTACTAACAGAATCTTGCAAGTCTGAAAGAGCATCTCTCCCCCGTCCCCTTTACAGCCCAAGAAACTAGGGAGGGTCCTTCTGAGATGTTTGCCAGGCCCCCATTCCTGCTGCAGGCTCAGCTGCCTCTTATCTGACCGTGGTCCAGTCTGTGGCTCTTCCTCCTGTCTCCCAAAGCCATTCCCACAGACCATTACAGAATCAGACAGAAGAGCATGGGAGAAGCTTGATAGGGCTATTCCCCACCTTGCAAGGGTGGGGGGGTTTGGTGGCTAAAGGAGGAGCCCAAAATTGGGTTCTTTTCTCCAATGGGGGGCTAATGCCACAACTACCCCACCTGTTTAAACCAAGTACATTGCACAAACTCTATCTACTTGAACTAACCCAAAGTCCATTGATATGTGGGAATGACCATGGGAGACAGGCGGAAGAGTCGCAGACTGGACAACCGGCATGCAGAAGATACCTCAGCCCACAGAAGGAGGGAGGGCGTGGGAATCCTTTCAGAAGGGACCCTCCCTCGTTTTCCGGAGAGGAAAAGGAGAGGAGGGGAGAAATGCTTTCAGCCTTGCAAGGTTCTGTTCATGTGACCTTCCCATAAAGATAGATTTAGCACTCCTGGTGGTGCTTCTTGTCTGGGCTTCCTCGAAGGGCTGACACCCACCTTGCAACATCACGGTTGCCCCCCAGATCTTCCTTGCCTCTTCTTTCCACGTTAGGACAGGCCGTGGCCCTCGCCTCCTTTTCGCCTTGCCCCCGGATTGGGAGGCAGGGCTAAGACAGACTAAACCAGCAGCAGTCCGGACTTTGGGACACGTTGGGCCACCTCCCTTCGTCACTCCTAGCTAGCGGGGGCTTGCTAGGAGGCCACCGTGTCAGAACGACACCCCACCCCACCCCACCCCACCCCA